TACAGAATATCCATGGCCGTATTATATCTACATGGTGTACAAACTATAAAAAAAGAAAAATTTATGGTAGTGTGTAGTTAGATAAATTAAGCTCACCAAATGGCAGAAGCTTTTCATGTTGATATATTTGGTACCAACCTAGAGCTGCATGCACAAATGGCACACGTATATTTATGTTTCAAATATGTATTCAAATTCTCAGCTGTGATTTTGATGACAAACTTGTCTAAAATATCATCGCCTTAATGTTTGATTTATTCCAACATTTCTAGTCCAACGTTTGTTTGTTTAATAGTGCTGGGGTTATTTGGCCGACCTTAATTAGTGTTATTTTATTGCCAATTGACAGCCAAAACCTTGGTAAGCCTTTGATTTATGAGCAAGTCCGCCAAAATCCCACAAGCTGGTAACTTATGTTATAAATTTATAATGTTATTTTGCAGCAGCAGCCACAGAAATATGAGAAAATAGAATCTGGCAATTATATGTGAAATATGAAATCTTACTGTAAGATCCACCTGGCACCTTCTCAGCCCCAGATCTTTGCCACGTGGAAGCATACAATATAATGTTTAGGGAATATGAGAGTCATTCTATAGTAAGGGCTTTATATATGGCCTTTAGGTGAGGGCCTATCTCTTAAGAGAGGTTCTTATTAAGAGATAGACTCTTACCTAAGAGCTGATAACAATAGAGAATATTGAAGAAGAAAGCAGAGAAAACTCAGAAAATTTTGTATTTATTTTACTTAATGAATCCATTATGTTGTGAATTTTAGACAACCTAAAAAATGGAGACCATAAAGATTAGTCTAAACACAAATTATACTCGCAAGTGCACAAGGTCAATCATAATTTAGTATGACAAATACGAGGTCATTCCCAGGAGGATTGAGTTCAACTTCCGACTAGTCTAACCTAATTTACTTCACAAAATACTTTAACTAGTCTAATTATATAAACAATAAATTAAACACGTAGCACACTCACATAAACACAAAGGGGTTTTTAAAAGAATGATTTAATTAACAACGAAATTAAAAGACAAAACATGTAGAAAGTCACGAAACATAAGGATGAGAAATTCAAATTAATAAAAGCACTAGGACAATGAATTCACCATTACTAATCTGATCTAGCATCTTATTCACCTACCTATTAATTAATCATTTGATGTCGCCACTTAGTTTTCCTTTTTCATGAATTGCCTATGGTATTTAGGCTAACTCATATATTCCTACACGCAATTCGCCAATAGTATTTAGGTCAAAAATCAACACATAGAAACTCATTAACATCGATGAAAACCTCTAACCAGCATGTAAACCCTAGGAGTATGGTATTTACTCTAGACAAATTACAAATCCTAATCATAAGAAGCAAGCCTCAAATTAAGTATGGTATTTACTCTAATTTGCATCCGATTAACTCAATTAAAAGTCTAGATGGTGATCAAGCATCAAGATAATCAAGCAAGTTATTAAGCACAGTGATTAAGAATCCAACATCAAATGGCAATCAATAGACAGGTAAAATAAGAAAACTAGATTATCATACTAGGGCTACATCATACCTTAGAAAAAGAAAATTAGTTACACATAATCATAGAATTCGATATAAACAAAAATATAAAGAAGAAATAATAAAACTTAGCCAATGCGGTACTCTTTCAACATCTCCAATTTCTCATAGTCTTTGCTTGACCCCAAATGAGTTGTTTCTCATGCATAAATAAAACACTACACGCCTATTCCTACCCTAGCTGGGCTTTTACAGTAGCCTAAAAATAAAGAAAAACCTAATTAAAACATAAATCCAAAATGAGTAAGTAATTGACTCCTCTTCATACTTAGACTGGGATAACACGTTAGTTACTTTGCACGCACATTTAGGGTTGTTACTCCTATAAGAAAATTCGGGAAAAATATGTAAATTCTAGGTCTTTGTCTTATCTTTTCAGCCATATATCGCATGCCTTGAGGAAAAATCAGGAAAGTCTTCAAATAATCATTCCTTCCACATCAACACAGTTTTGACAGGATTGCACCTTATGCTCACTTAACTTCAAAGACTGCTCTCATTGGCTACTCCGAAAATTCTAGAAAAATTCAACAATTATCTTCAAGATCTTAGCTTTTATCTCCAACTGGTCTTGTACTAAAACTCCACCAAAAGTCATATTTCCGTTGAAAACAATTACTTGCTCTAGAAAGCTGAAAATTGAGAAAATAAAGTAATAAGTCTTTTTAAAATCAAATTCTCCTACAAAAACTAAGTATAAAGAGTACACAAATGTGTAAGTTTATGGATTTATCAGATTATAGTGTCAAGCTCAGCTTATATACCTAATAACAATCTTAGAGATTAAGTAAACTCATCTGAACAAACTAACAAATTCTATAACAATACTAATATGAACACATGACGTCCATGTGCTATTCTAACAACCTTGAGCTGACCTAGACAATATAGTCATCATTCCTCCTCAAACCCAATAACAAATTCCATAACAATACTAACACGAACACGTGACCTCCATGTGCTATTCCAACAACCTTGAGTTGACTTGGACAATACAGTCATCATTCCTCCTCAAACCCAGCTGGGGTTCTAAGTTCTAAATTTCTACAATGTCTCAGAAACATAGGACCATGCAATCCCTTTGTAAAGATGTCTGCCACTTGTTCTTCAGTAGGAATATACTGCATAATCAAAGTCCTTTCTCTGTACTCTTTCTCTTACAAAATGAAAGTCAATATCTAAGTGTTTGATCCTAGAATGGTATACAGGATTGGAAGTTAAAGCAGGGGCTCCCACCTGCCTAAAGGAAGCCCATCAATTATTATCATCTTCATACAAGCAAGTCTACTTCTCTCTTTGCTATATGTATGTCAAACTAAGCCTCCCTTATCAAATGAAAGAACATTTTGTTTGTTGTCCTCTTTCAATGGAGAACCCTAGTGCATTGAACTTTCAAATGTTGCAATAGTATTAATATAGATGTGCCATTTCTTACAGGATCACATGCATAAGATTGATGGCAATAATAGCAAGAAGCTCTAGGTCCCATATCACTCCCCAGTTCAACCGAGTTCTTAGTAAAATGCTTCCAAACCTCCGATGCTTTCCTAACGGGTACTCTCTTCTTAGGAATTGGGAGAAGGGTAGATGTTCCCCTTTGAACTAATTGCTCAGTGGTAGCAATGGTAGGTATAAGACTAGGACTTTCATTTGGGTTGGTGAAAGATGTGTTAATGGTAGGAGTTTGAGAACTTCCTTCCATAATTTATTTTTTTAAGCCTATAGACAGATTTACACAATGAAAAGATTCATAAACACAAGATAAATACATACACATATTTTCACTTTTTCCTACAGACATTGAAAACAAAGAAAATAACAAAGAGAATAGTAGAGAAAGCAAGAGGAAAATAATATCAATCTTTGGAGCACGTTTACAATAACCCAAATTGTACTCATTAATCAATATCAACTAAAAAGGTGAAGTAATCATTCAATATCAATATCAACTTTGGTACACATGAATTAAAATAATATGTATTTAGCCCATGTTGCTTTATGAAAGGAAAACTAAGGTTCTCCCAAAAAACATATTGGTTTAAGACTTAATTTTTCTTGCTGAACACATGTATCACGAGTTGACCTACTTTCTTTCTTTCTTTTTCTTCCTCTCTTTTCTATTTTTTAATTAATTAAATAGCAGGTCGACTCTCTTTTCCTATAGTATTTTAGCAAAAGAAGAGAACTCAAAAGAAGTTGTGGTTTCCTAATACACACACAAATATGCAGAGAAGACTATAAATAAATAAAGGGAACTAATTTTCCCACTCCTCTTTTCTCCACTTACACTCCTATTTGTTTTTTTAAATACTCTTTAATTAATTTTGTTCTTTTTGTTCTCTCTCTTTCCTATTCTAACCATATCCTACATTAATTTCTTTTTACTTCACTTTTATATTATTTCTTTTTCGTTATACTTAATTTTCCAACTTGCATTCCATTTTCTTTTTCTTTATACTTTTATATTATTATTTTTTCTTTATGCCGTTAAATGAACATGATAATATTTTATTTTATTTTTAGAAGATTTATAATGCTTAATGAAGTTAATAAAAAAGTTGAATTAAGCAATAGAAAAAGAAAAGAAAAGAAGGGCATAGTCGTGGAAGGGAGGAACTGCACATCAATTGTAGAAGTGGGAGTAACCCAACAACCATGTCAATCTCTATCCCCAACCATTTTCTCCACCTACACCCAAAGGCCCCAACTCTCCAAGCCACACTTACCTCCCCAACTCCAATGCACCCACCTCTAATATATATAATAAAAGCTCATGCAGCCTTAGTACTCCGCAATGGTCCTTCCCACTTCTCCACCCGCTGAGTAGTTCCTCCCCTTCCTAACTAGACTACGCCCTTTTTTTCTCTCTCTTTTCAAGTTTTTAATATTTTTTCTAATAATATATTTTAGTTTAATTGAACTTTTAATGTATTTTAAAATTAATACAACTTTTTATTAACTTCAAAAAGCTTTATAGGTTTTCAAAATAAAATGAAAAAAGATTATCATGTTCATTTATCGGCAACTTTAATAGAACTTGCCAAATTGATTAATGGTCTTACGCACATGAATCAAATTGGCCAAATTAAAAACACATGGACTAAATTGGCCAAGATGATAAAATTGGATCATTTTGACATTAAAGCCAAAGAAATAATATAAAAGTGAAGTAAAAAAAAATCAATGTATGGTAATGATATAATAGGAAAGAGAAAGAATTAAAAAAAAAAGATTAAAAAAAAAATGTAAGCAGAGAAAAATAGAATGGAAAAGTCAGCCAGCTAAATAAATGACCTCTTTTGAATAAAATGCAGTTGGCGAACACGTAGCTGCACCATCAGCTGCCACGCACACCACTTGTCGGCCACCTAATGCTATGAAAGCCCATTAATAGAGGTGTGTGTTTGTGTGTGTGGGAGAGTGAGAGAGCGATCAGAGAGAGAAATCAAATATGAGTAGCAGAGAGAAAAGATGGTCTCTTGAGGGATTGACTGCTCTTGTTACTGGTGGAACCAAAGGGATTGGGTTAGTTTAGTTAGCTTTCTCTTCTTCCTTCTTAATTGCTTATTATGTTTTCTATGATTAGACCCTTAATTCATCTTTTCAATTGTCATATCCATGCAAAATTTTCTTTATTTCTCCAAATTCTCCCCTGTTTTTCTTCTTTTTATTTTTATTTATAAATAAAAATAAATTATGGGTACCAATTAGTTTTAATACTTTATGTTAAATTGTTAATGTATTTAGGTACGCTATAGTGGAAGAATTGGCAGGGCTAGGTGCAACTATTCATACTTGTGCTCGGAATGAAGTTGACCTCAACGACTGCTTGAGTCAATGGGGTAAGAAGGGTTTCAAGGTCACTGGTTCAGTCTGTGATGTGGTGTCAAAAACCCAAAGAGAGGAGCTTATAAACAAAGTCTCATCATTGTTTGATGGAAAACTTAACATCCTTGTAAGTATAAGACCATAAATTCTAAGCACCAAGGATCACTTTTTGCTTTCTTGTTCTTTTATTAAGGATTTTTGGTCATAGTGAAAATAGAATCGGTATCAGCTTTTGTAGCAGACAAGATGGCATAGATGCTATAGTTCGAATGAACATTGTGTTTCACTAGATCAAGATCCCCCATGGCACCGCTGTGTGTGAGAAACCCCGTCTCCATGTAGTTTAGATTATCGCTTATGTGAAAAAGAAAAGTCTCATTTTCTTTTTAGAGTCACTTCACTGTATATTTGCTGAGCTTTGAATTAATTAAGGCATGCAAATTTTATGTGTGGTGTAGATAAACAATGTGGGAACTAACATACCAAAACCGACAACGGAGTACACAGCTGAAGATTACACATTTCTTATGAGTACCAATCTTGAATCTGCTTATCACTTGTGCCAACTTGCACATCCTTTGCTCAAAGCTTCAGGAGCCGGTAACATTGTTTTTCTGTCTTCTGTTGCTGGTGTGGTTTCACTGGAGATTGGAACTATATATTCTGCCACTAAAGGTGCCTTGATTTTCCTACACACACACACACACACATATATATATATATAATATAAAAAATTTGTGTTCTGCAATTGAAGAATTGACCTTAAATGTTGACGCTTTTCTGTTTTGTGTTTCAGGAGCAATGAATCAATTAGCCAAAAACTTGGCATGTGAGTGGGCAAAAGATAACATAAGGACTAATAGCGTTGCACCTTGGTTCATCAAAACTCTCCTCGGTGATCATGTAAGATGATAATATCTAGATCATGTGCTTGTTTTTGTGTATAGTAGGATTAGTGGGTTTTTTTTTTCCCCATGTCATGATCACTTCACACATGCGAATTAAGTATGCTCTAATTGGGATCAAATGTATAAAAGAAAAGAAAAGGCATTGCACGACTAGGCCTAAAAGTACCAGCTATTATCTTCACATTTTTCATCTTAACTTGATGTGACAAATTTATTTATATCTGAGCTCATTGTAGATTGTATTTATTTGCACCAAGTAGAAAATTGAAATGTATTCATAATTGGTATATGTAGTCTTATTTGCTGAAGAGCTTGACAGATTATGAAAATTATGTTTATACCTAACAAACTTGCAAGTTAGCAGCTACTAAATATGTGTCTTATCCGCTTCTGTTTTCTATACATGTAGTTTCTCGGCCACGAAAAAACTTTGAAGATCATCAACTCTCGAACACCGTTAGGACGCCCTGGAGAGCCAGAAGAGGTGTCAGCCTTGGTAGCATTTCTATGCCTCCCGGCAGCCTCTTACATAACTGGCCAAACTATTTGCGTCGACGGAGGGGTGACTGTGAATGGCGCCCTCTTCCAAGGAGCATGACTTGGAAATGGTTCTCTTTATGTATACATATCTACTAGTAGGCAGACACTTGAGGTCAGATAAAAACCAAACTGATCCATCTAATAAAATAAAGTATCATGTACATTTGCTAGGCCAGCTCAAACGGACATAACGTTTTGGTATGTATTTAAATTCTCGGCTGTGATTTTGATGACGAACTTGTCTAAACATCATCACCTTAATGTTTGATTGATTCCTTGGGGTCTTGGCCGACCTTGGGTATGTATAGTGTTATTTATATAGAGATATTATGAGCAAGTCCGCATAAAGATTTCATATTTCATATTTCTGTAATTCTTCTAGAATTTTTAGAGTAGCCAAGCAAAGTAGTATTTCAAGACAAGGCAGCTTAAGGTGAAATTCGGAAGCATTTGCATTACTGTGCCAACAATGATATTTGAAGGCCTTTTCGATTTTTTCTTAAGATGTGCTACATATGTTTGGAAAGATAAGACAGAGCTTCAAGGTTCATATTTGTCCATAATTTTATGAATGGAGATACTAGCCCAATTCATGCCTACAAGCAAACTGCAGTGCATTACTGTCAAACCGGGCTAGTAGCTGTGCAGTCAAGGAATGTTAATATTTTCGATAGCTTTCATAGAGAATTGGCGATAGGCCCTTATTCCGTTGGAAAGATAATTTTCTGGGCTTCAATTTAGTGTGGTTAAAGTCTTCATTTGGAGTTGGGAAGCCCAAGTTGTGATGCTCACGAGGTTGCTTGATCATGCATAAGCTATGCATGCATTATGCTTGTTAATGGATGATTTGATTCATCCACAAACTTAGATAAGAAGGAAGTGGGAAGCCAAACTAAAAGCCAATCCATTTGCCCTTGAAGTGCTGCACCAAGAAGAATAAATAGTGAGAAATGGCATTGTGGGTTAGGTATTTGAGTTTTTTTTTTTGAAAAAAAAGATTAGTGGCTTCTTGTTGTTGAGTATGTTGGCCTATAAATAGAGAAGTTCCCTAAGCTTTCAAAACAACCCCCCCTTTTTTTTTTGTGGGTTGGGGGGAAGGGAGAGAGAGCTCTCAAACATCTCTCTAGAGCTCATCTCCCTTCCTCCCTCAAATTCTCTTAGTTCTACTTTTAGTTCTCAATTGTTTGTAATAAAACCCTTTTGCTAGATTTTCCTTTATGTATTTTCTTAGCTTTGTAATGTTTTACCTTTATTTATTTAAATAAAACTCTTTAGTTAGGGCATGATGTAGCCCTAGTGTGATAATCTAGTTTTCTTGTTTTTCTATCTAGTAATTTCCTTTTGATATTAGACTCTTAATCATCGTGTTTAATAACTTGATTGATTTTCTTGATGTCTAATCACCATTTAGATTGTCAATTGAGTTTATCGAATGCAAATTAGAGTAAATACCGTACTTAATTTGAGGCTTGTTTCTTGTGATTAATATTTGTAATTCTTCTAGGATAAATATGTTGTGGTGTTTTAGACAACCTGCAAAACAAAGATTATTTCAAACACACATTATACTCTCACTTGGCTCCTTCAGCTAACCCATATTAAAGGAAATAATCTTATTTGAATATAGCCACACTCATCACTTGGCTCCTTCACCTAACCCACAATTCCATTTGATATAATTTTGTTCTCTTTTATCTTTGGTGGTGTGGCACTTTCATATTCTTTGGATTGTTTATGTCTTCTTTGCATCCACTTCTTCAACCATTTCATGATAACAATGCAGCTATCCTAACTTTTCCATTAACAACAATAATGCATGCATAGGTCATGCATGACCAAGCAACTTTGTAAGCATCATAATTTGGGCTTCTTAACTCCCCATGAAGACTTTGACCATACTAAATTGAAGCCTAGAAAATGATCTTTCCAATGGACTAAGGCCCTGTTGCTAATTCTCAATCACAGTTATCGAAGATATTAATATTCTGTGACTGCACAACCGCTGGCCCGATTTAACTGTAGTGCGGTGCATTCATTGTCAAATTGGGCCGACAGCTATGTAGTTAAGGTTGTTGGGCGATAGTCATGATAAGTATAGAACCGTTTCCTTTCATCTTCTACTTCTTTTAAATCTCAAATACAGAGAGTTGTCGGGCGATAGTCATGATAAGTATAAAACTCCCATGTGCGTAGACCCTTTCCACAAACCTACACATTATTGCGGGTTGGCCTTGGATTTCATTGCCTCGCCAGGACTAGGACATTCGGGTTCAAACGGGCCATGTCTAGATTAGAAACTATTAGCCTAAGCCCTACCTAACAAAATATTGGGCCGGACTTACCAAACTTTAGCTATGGATTTGTTCGGGCTTTGGCCCATGTCTGCACCAATAATTGTACTTGCACCAAAAAAAAAAAAAAAAAAAAAAATTCATGTACAAGGAGATTCCATGTAATGCAGAGTTTGTCTTCGGCCAAATCATTTAATCATAGTTATACATGACAGTCCACTAGAAATAGCAGCATTTCAGACCAACAACAGAAGCAAGTTGCGGCACTATCAGCTGCCACGTAGTGCACCGCTTGTCCTGGCCACCCAATACTGATAATAAAACTATAAAAACCCATTAAAAGATGAGAGAGAGAGAGAGAGAGAGAGAGAGAGAGAGAGAGATCGGATATGAGTAGCAGAGAGAGAAGATGGTCTCTTGAGGGATTGACTGCTCTTGTTACTGGTGGAACCAAAGGGATTGGGTTAGTTTACTTAGCTTTCTCTTCTTCCTTATTAATTTCTTATTATGCTTTCTATTTGGAAAAAGACCATTAATTAATCTTTTCAATTTCATATGCTGCAACATTTTCTTTACTTCTCCAAATTCTCCCCTGTTTTTCTTCTTCCTTTTTATTTATTTATAATATATATAAAATAAATTATGGGTTCCACTTAGTTTTAATACTTTATGTTAAATTGTTAATGTAATTAGGTATGCTATAGTGGAAGAATTGGCAGGGTTTGGAGCAACTATTCATACTTGTGCCCGGAATGAAGTTGACCTCAATGACTGCTTGAGTCAATGGGAGAATAAGGGTTTCAAGGTCACTGGTTCAGTGTGTGATGTGGTGTCAAAATCCCAAAGAGAGGAGCTTATAAACAAGCTTTCATCCCTGTTTGATGGGAAACTTAACATCCTTGTAAGTACAGGACAATGTGATGAAATTCTAAGTATAAAAAATCACTTTTTTTGCTTGCTTACTGTTTTATTAAGGATTTTTTGTCACAGAGAAAATTGAACTGGTATTAACTTTTGTAGCAGACATCAATAAACGGTTATCTTCTCGTCCATTAAATTTGATTCCAAGACCCCTTTCAACAAAGTGAAGACTGTGTAGCTAGATCAAAATGGTATTAGCTAAAAGTTTAATTAGGGCTGTTTGATGAGTGTTTTCGTTTTCGCGGTTTTAGTTAAAAATATGCATGGGAGAAATGAGGTAGAATGCAAGGACCAATGAGAGGAGCTAATAAACAAGGCCTCCCTGTGTTCAAGTCCTTCAAAGCGCCATTTTCTTTTAATTTAGAGTCACTTCACTGCATATTTGCTGCATATTTGTAGATAAGCAATGTGGGAACAAACATAACAAAACCAACGACGGAGTTCACAGCTGAAGATTACACATTTCTTATGAGTACCAATCTTGAATCTGCTTATAACTTGTGCCAACTTGCACATCCTCTGCTCAAAGCTTCAGGAGCCGGCAACATTGTTTTTGTGTCTTCTGTTGCTGGTGTGACTTCATTGGAAGTTGGATCTATATATTCTGCCGCTAAAGGTGCCTTAATTTCCTTACACAGATATATAATATATAGGGTTTAGGACTTGGAAAGAAAAAAAAAACACAAGAAACTTTGTGTTCTGCGATTGAAGCGTTTATGTTTTGTGTTTCAGGAGCAATAAATCAATTAGCCAAAAACTTGGCATGCGAGTGGGCAAAAGATAACATAAGAACTAACAGTGTTGCGCCTTGGTTCATCACAACTCCCCTCGCTGACCACGTAAGATGATCATATCCAGATCATGTGCTTGTTTTTATGTATTTCTAACTAGTTAGCAATGTGATGGTTTTTTTTTTTTTTTTTTTTTTAAAATTTAAATTTTTTTATATCACGATCAGTTTCATGTTAATAAAGTGGGGATCACCAAATTAAGTATGCTCTAAGTGGGATCAAAAGTAAATAGAAGGAAAGAAAAGGCACTGCAACATTGCCAATTCATGCTTAGGCCCCGAAGGCACGATTAGGAACAAAAGTACCAATTATTATTCCAATTAATTTGACAGTATTTATTTACCTACATGTGAGCTCATTGTATGTGTCACACATGAGTTGGTTCTCAAAAGTTGGGATAATAATTGGTACCTCGAGTCTTGTTGTTGGATAGCTTGACCAATTATGAGAACTATGTTTATACTTTTACAAGCTTGGAATTTAGCAGCTACTAATATATGTGTCATATCTGTTCGGTTCTCTAAACTTGCAGTTTCTCGGCAACGAAAAATCTTTGAAGATCATCAAGTCTCGAACCCCATTAAGACGCCCAGGAGAGCCAGAAGAGGTGTCTTCCTTGGTAGCATTTCTGTGCCTACCGGCCGCCTCTTACATAACTGGCCAAACTATTTCCGTCGATGGAGGGGTGACTGTCAATGGCCTCCTCTTCCAAGGAGCATGATTTGGAAATGGTTCTGTGTATGCATATATATATATATATATATTAATAGGATAGATATCTGAGGCCATATAAAAACCAACTGATTCATCTAATAAAGTGAGTGTGCATGCTGTAATTTTATGTAAAAATTAGGTGGCATCAATGTTTTAATAAACGACTAAATGGTAAGATTAATGATCATTTAGTCTAATAGTATGGTATCTAAATTTTAATTTTCGTACGTTTTTGTACAATTATTGTACCATCATCAACATTGGCCAGGCCAGCATAACACGTTCATATGGGGATTGACTGCTCTTGTTACTGGTGGAACCAAAGGGATTGGGTTAGTTTAGTTAGCTTCTTCTTCCTCATATGCATGCAAAATTTTCTTTATTTCTCCAAATTCTCCCCTGTTTTTCTTCTTTCCTTTTTATTTTTGGGTCCGTTAGATGTAGGCCCTTGTAATTCTTATATCCTAAACATATATCCATTCATATATAAATTTTTGTCTAAAACCTAATTTTAAAATATTTTGCCATGTAATATAGATATGTCATAGTTTTATTAACTAAATTACAATATATGCCATTGTAATTTATTTTCAAGCATGTCATTAACTCCCTAATTTTTAATTAATAATCCCTTATTTCTAGCATATTAAGATCCCATTTTGTTTTTTTTAATCCCTAAATTATTTTATAATAGATTACTCC